GCAGGTTGAGTTGTTGTCATTTCCGCATAAAAATACAATTTATTTATATGGTCTGTATCAAAACGTTCCTTGGGAATCTGAAATAAAGTACCCTGTGCTGCGATACCAGTGTTATATGCATGTTGTCTTGAAAATTCTTCATGTTGATTCCTTTGCGTTTCCAGTATTTCAGGTCTTAAATATATTCTACAAACAATTGCACCAATATTTTTTTTTACTGACAGCAATCTTTATGGAATATGAAGGAAAATATAAAGTACCATTATCATTTTTCATATGATCAACAAACAAAACACTTGAGGAAATATTTTTTTTCAAAAAAAAAGCAACATGAAACAAATTTTGAAAACAATTTACTCATTTTCCTTCTTTTATTTTTCCTTTTAACTGAGACACCAATTTACTACCTAAAAGACAATCTTAAGTTAAAATGCTTTACTTTTTAATCATTGCATCCGTTTCAATTCAATCTGCTAGTTGTTTTTTTCAGCCTGAGTAAACAAACTTATGATACATTGGCAGGAACTTAATGTCTTCATGTCAATGAACTGACTGTGGACCATTTCAAATAGTTAAATAACAGATGCATTCATTCTTTAAAGGCAGACCTGGTGCAGCCTCCACTTCAAAATCACACCATTAAAAGCGTGAAGACTCCAGCTCCAGCCATTTCAGATACTCCTTAACTTCCAAACGAGAATGAGACACGAAACTCGGAACTCTTGGAACTTAAAATAAACCCAACGATGACTTTTAAGGGGTGAAGTAGTAAGTATGAGAGGAGATTTATGGACAGAGATCCTCGTTAACGGCTCCCTCCCCTCACCCGTCCAAAGAAAAAACCTCCCATGGACCTCAATACCTCTGCTCACTGCTATACAAGCCTTAGTGTTATCTATTTGGCTTGAAGGTTCTACGTATCTACAAATATATAACAAATAAAAACTTGCAGGCAAAAATAGTTTGGTTTCCATAGAAACACCCTTTTTTCCTGAAAATACAGCAGTATCTGAAATATTTCTCTGCATCAGGAAGCTCTTCCACCAACGAACAGAAGAAAAAAAAAGTATCTACAAACTTTGTAAACAGACATGTGTCTTCCACAAAAAAAAACAAAACAAATAATTCAAAATATTAACAGCCAAATGATGCAGAAATCAGTGTTTGAATAAGCAAAGGGCAAAAAGAACAAATGTACAACATCCAGATAAAGAGAAGCAAAAGCTAAGAGCTAAGCTCCCAAGAGCTCCATGGCTCCGCCCCTCTCATCCAATGAGTTCTCCAGGCTTTAGTCTCTGTGGGGAAGAGCAGGTGTTGTGTGTCATAGCGAGGGGCGGAGCTGATCAAAGGGACGTCTCTAGGCTGTGCATGGGGCTCCCGGGAGCTGAGGGTGTGGCTGGCTTGCTGGGATCCAGGAAGAGGTGGATGCCGCTGTCTACGGCGTTATTGTTCTGATTGGGCGAGGGTGGGGGAGGAGGCGTGGGTGTGGTGTTTCTCTTAGTGGGTGCGTCGTCCTCTGCGTCAGTGTCGTCGATAAGGGGGATGTGGGGCTCAGAGTCCTCTATCCGGAACTCCGGATGGGTCATGAAGTTGTGGATGGAGGTGCGAGACTCTGGCTTCTCCAGGCCCTCATAGGGCGACAGCGAGCTGCGGAATGCATTCACCACTCGGATCTGCGGGAGAACGGGATGCAAAGTCAGCCTTGCCGCTCACAGAGATCTACTTCTCGTTTGCACACACGTACACGACAGGCATACAAAGTGAAGCATCACTTGTTTTGTTTGTTTTAAGTACAGGTTAAACCAAAGGCCAAATGGGCTGGTTTTAATTGATGAGTGGAGAGCAGTGAGGTTAGCGCACCAAAACCGTTTGAGAGAGAGAGAGTGTGTGAGTGGTCAGATGTCGTGCAACTGAGAGATAGAGAAAGAGTGGACGAACTCTTGAAAACCTGATGCTTGTGTTACGGTGAGCTTATCCTCTGACCGAGGGACAGAATATCCTCTTTTCTCAGGATTGAGAAATAAACTGGAAAGAACTTGGGTGTCTTCTCAGTTGTAAATCACAGAAAGCCAATTTTTCAAAATGCAAATGAGGAAGAGAGAGAGAGAGAGAACAGAAGAGACAGGAAAAGAGAGAGGCAAAGGTAACCCCAGAGGACACAGCTCAACACATGAGGTTAATATTATCGGGCATGCTTGTATTGGAGGGGAGGGATCGATCACTGATTATGTTGTGAAGTCGAGACGCAAAACTTTAAAGCAGCCAAGCAAGTTTAAGCTAACCAGCACAAGTAAATTCACAAACAGTCTAGAGACTGGACCCATGCAGAGCAGCGCTACCTTGTGTTTCAACAGAGGTAAACCTTTGAGTATAGCCCATGACACATTTCACAGAATCTAAGATGGAATATGCAGCAGTCAAAATGTCGTACCCTGTTTTCCAATGTGCTTTTCATTAGCAAGACTACAACAAGAGACAGTTTCAAACAGAATACAAAGTGCCCTGAAAAGAGAAAAAGGGTTTGTGGCAACCAGGACCTGATGAAAGATGGAAATATTGATGTGGTTAGAAAATAGAGCTGAAAGACAAACAGAAACGACATGATTCCACCAGCTTTTCATCCAGTCGCAGATGTTCCCTGTAAAATAACGAAGTTACATCAATAAGGACAGACAGAGAGAAAGAGGATGATAAAACTGGCACCGAGTAGAATATGAGACAGTGTGAGAAAGAGGAAACCGTGTTGAGTACGGACAGTATGTCGCAGAATGAGTGAACTGACGCCACAGGAAATGTGACTAACTACAGGAAGAGGAGAGGAAGTTCATTTTTGTCTAAACTACAGCACATCTTGTTAATCATCTCATTCGATCCTACAGATACTTACCAGAACGCCGCTTTAAAAATGTCCCACAAACCCATTCACAAGACCAATTTGCTGCGATTGGTCAGGTTATCGGTGTGACCATGGGCGTATACTCAAAACATTTACTCGCAGTAGACTAGGAGCCTGGCGAGCACGCACAGGGCTGCAGACACACCAGACGGGATTAGACAACGACTCTTCGTCGGTGAGAACCCAGCCAAAGCCATCAAACACAGACACAGAAACCTCAACCTTAACACTTAAGATACACAGCCGTTAACACTGAGAAGCAATGTGGAAGATGTTTCGAGATACATTTCGTTTCGAACAAGAGAGCGAGAGAAAGAGAGAGAAGGAAGGACATTAGGAGAAGAATGAAGACTGTTAGGCGAGAGGAGGAAATGTTAATTGTCATGCACTAATAAACACGCACTCACACCCAACAGTGGCAGAAGCGGTGTTGAAGGCAGCAGCAGGAGATAAGGCTACATGTGTAGGGCTAGAAACATTGGTTACATCGTGCTGTTGGCTGGTGCTGGAGGGCTGGCGCCTGACGGCCGCCTGAAAGGAAATTCCGCTCTGGAACGCACTCACAACATCCATCTGGAAGGAATCAGAGAGTGTGATAGGCCCAGAGAACGCACAGGAGAGAGAAAGACAGAGTAAGAGGAAGAAGTGAGAAAAAGAGGGATAGAGAAAGAAGGGCACCCATATAAAAGAAGACAGGGACAGAGCAGCTGAGAGAGAGAAAAAAAGGCACTGAATTAAAAGAACCTGACCTGACATTTGCCTTTAGCATTGATTGGCTTATTGCACTGACAAACTGCATTAATAAACCCTCTTCCACCAGTATAAGGTCACCATAAGTGGCGGATCGATTGGAGGGAGTACTAACTCAAACCATAATCAGAGAAAGGGAAATAAAAAATCTAAATTGATTAAGCAAGGCGGGCGTTTGGGTTCCAGAGCTTGGACTGCAGAGTTGTGCGGTTTTCAAGAGGTTACCTGAGTCTGAATGCGATTCAGGCCCCTGAACCAGAGGATCTGCCCTCTGCGGAGCTCGCGCTCAGCATGATCGATTTCATCCAGGTCCTCCAGCTCCTCCAACTCCTCGTCTGGGATTTCTTCCTTCTGCGTTCCATGACCAGCAGTCTTCAGGAACTTCAGCCGGCTCGTTGGGATCGAGGAGATGATCTGAATGAGGGCGTAGATGTATATCAAGTGGCCATTTCATACAAAAAACGAAATGTAATGTAACGAAATGTCCAGTAATTCAGTTCACTGCCTTTAGGGGGCACTGCTCTATTACTATTGAGTTTGGATTGGTGTTTTGAGAGCAAGTTACAAGAAGCTGCTTTGTATAACATAGGAAGGAAAAGTTGGATGATGCTCACCTGTCCCCATAGTAGACACCCAAAACCCAAGAGGATGCACCATAGCCACTGCTCAATGCTCAGCCCCACACAGCTGAATGGCTTTCCTCCAAATTGCACTATCACAATCTAAGTGGAAAACAAATGTAAATAATTTTTTGAGTTTATGATATACTTATATCACACCAGCATCTGTATCTGCTCTGATTATGGGCATTCATACAGCAATTTGTAGGACTCACTGCATACCTGAATAACAAAAGTACCAAAGACGATGGTACAGAAGATCATGTTGTTAAAAATGCCTTCAAAAACATTTCGTTCCCCGTGGATCTTCCGTGCGTTGATTTCATTGAACAGCTGCATCATCACAAAGGTGTTGAAGACAATGGTGTAGTGCTCAGAGGGAGGAGCGTGAAGAGGGGCGTAACGTCCATTGTCAATGTCGAACATCTTTTCACCTGAGAAATGAGCAGAAAGTAAAACATTGTAGTGGACGTTTGCTTCATGCGATTATAATTTGCATGACTTTGCTCAATCACATATGCTGTTATTTCTTACCAGCAAAAAGTAGAGTGAAGATGATAGTGAGCTGGTAGACCGCATGACCCAAAATGTTCTTCATCATTGTCCGGGAGATGAGGGGTTTATTACGGCCGTAAGGCTTCCTCAGCAGAAGTGATTCAGTGGGGGGTTCAGTGGCCAAGGCCAAAGAGGCAAATGTGTCCATAATCAGATTTACCCATAACATCTGTACAGCTTTCAAAGGAGAGTCCTGTGAGAGTGAGAGAACAGGAGGTGACCGTTCTGACCTCATTCACTGCTGCCACCTTCATAACATTCAAAAACACCCTCTCAGCTGTGCATTTGCATGAGTACTGAAAATTTTTTTTTTTTTGCATTTCCTCTAGAATTCTGCATTGTGAATTTAAAGAAAGAAAGAAAGAAAGAAAGGCAATAATTAATAAACAAGATTTTGTGAATGACAGGTGCTGAAATTCTGGTGGGGTCTGATACCGAGTCGGCCTGCTCATGAGCAATTTCCAGGGAAAATTACACACGAAACAAGCAGAACACCTGAGGCTTGAGGCCACGTCCAGCCTTGGCTACTGACAGCAATGCAAAGCGCAAATGTAATCCTCCCATTCATTATGCAATAATACAGGGCCTCAACTGCAATCAGCCCGACTATCATTCCATTTAACAGAGGAGAGCTGGCTCATTTCGGACTGGTGCTTTGCCTGTGGACAGCAGTGCCAAGCCCCATGCTGACTCTGCCTGCAAGTCTTCCTGCCTCAGACTAACAATTTCCAATCACTTTACACAGGATGGGTAGCAATCAGCTGCTTCCATCAGCCACCATGGTGCATCTGTTAACACGCAATCCTTCACGTAGAGCTGCACTATTTAGCTTAACAGCTCCGTCAGCCGCAACTCCGTCATTTTGCCCCCTGCTAGAAGAGAGCTTTTAATAGTCATACC